TGTGTCTGTGTCTGTGTCTGTGTCTGTCTGTGTGTGTGTGTTTTATGGCATCTGATGGTCTGATATCATCAGCTATTTCATCTTTGTTTTCAAATAACGAGCAACAAACCGCAGATGAACTCTGAGTGAACACACTGAGCTCGTACTGAAGAAGTAATAGTTCTGCTGCTAATGAATTCCATTATCCATCCGTCTGATTACATCTGAAGAGCAGCTTTACTCGTGCAAATGATGCCAGACGAGAGAAAGTCATAAACATCCGTAACTCTAACGAAGCGCTTCATCAGCTCGCATCGCTTATTTATTATTCAGCCCAGCCCTTTATCTTCTGATATTAATAATCGCTCAGCGGCGAGATGATTTAAAGTCGATTTCAGAGTGCGTTTCTCCGGAGAGGATCGTGGGAGATTCGTCGATATCCACACGTCTGTGGGCTTTTCCAGGAGAAAATGATATATATAGCCTATATATATATCACAGATTGATTTTATGTGAAACTGCTGACACACTCACACTCCCTCACTCACACACACACACTCTCACACACACACTCACTCTCACACACACACTCACTCTCACACACACACTCACTCTCACACACACACTCACTCTCACACACACACTCACTCTCACACACACACTCACTCTCACACACACACTCACTCTCACACACACACTCACTCTCACACACACACTCACTCTCACACACACACTCACTCTCACACACACACACACTTACAACACAACACACAACTCATTCAGTAAAAAAAAAAAAATGTATGAAAATCCACATAATATAATGCAACTATTGCTCAAACTCCGCTCGGATCGTTATGCGTGTAGATTTTGTCAAAGACGACATTGAATGTATTTTCTAAAATATTGTTACGTTTTAAAACAAAAGTTGTTATGAGTTGTTTGGTGCAAAAAATGTAATAGCTGCTTATGAATATCACATAGTTGAGTGTTATTTACACAAATGTAGATTCATTAAAGTTAGGGTTAGTTAGGCATTTTAAAATTATTTAAAATTTTTATTTCAATAAATATTTGTGTGTGTGTGTGTATATATATATATATATATATAATGGATTTATTGTAGGTCTGTTTAATAATAATGATGTTTAATAAAGGTTTTAATACATTTTAATAATTTATTTATTTTTCAAATGTATTAATATTTTTATAAAATAAATATAATTTCATATTTATTATAATTTATTTATTTATTTATTTTATTTTTTCTCTCTCTTTTAGTGTATACTGCTTGAATGTATTGTGGGTGTGTTAAATAATGATAATGCTTGTTTGTAATTTGTTTAATAAAGGTTTAAATACATTTCAATAATGTTTAATAATAATAATAATATTTAATAATGAATTAAAAATATAAAAATAATGTATAATTCCATATATCTACTAACCTATTTATTTTTTAAATGTATTTTAAATGATTTTAAGTTGCTAAAAAAATTACTTTTAACATAATTCTTTATATTTTGTTATATTGTTATATTTATTGTGAGTGTGTTTAATGATGCCAGTTTGTAATTTGAAAAGGTTTAGTAATGGTTAAAAAAAGTCAATCAATCTCTACACATTCATCTGTCACTCTGTTGAAGCTGGTCAGTCTAGACAGATGTCAACATGAAGCGCTTGTGTGACACGAACATCATCTAACACCGTGACACGACTGATTTCAAAGTTTGCTGTTTGCATGAACGCAAGAAAATGCATAAAGCACACAATGCATTCTGGAACTGCTTTCTCCTTGAAAGATGCATGTGATGCTGTCTTAGAGTTCGATGTGTCTCAGACGGCTGCTGTCTAGGATTCATAAAAGAGCTTCTGCCTCTTTAAACGGTGTGTTTTCCTGAGTTGTGTGTCGAGCTTCTGTTTGTTCACGATCTGTGAGTGATGAAGGCATCTAACACACACACACACACACACACACACACTTCTGTCTGTCTGAGAGAGAAGAACAGAACAAAAGCTAAAAGAAAGCGCAAAGACGGATAAAGAGCTTTAAAACGGGAAGCGTCAGCCGCACTTGAGGAGCAGAACCACCAACGGCCGTAAAATAGCAGTATAAACACACACACACACTCTCACA